GGGGCCTCGGGCACACATCTAGGAGTGAGGCAGGGGTACGATGCCTCGAGGTAGGGCAGGGGCCTCGAGCATGACACCTTAAGGCGGGGAGGGGTGGAGGGGCAAGGCTCTTAGATAGGGAGGGCTCGGCGCCTCGAGCCGAGCGGGGGGTCGGGGAATGGCCTCTCGAGGCGCCTCGGAGCACCCAATTCTTTTTCAAAAAAACTTTATAATGACCTCCTATCTCTTATGGATGCTTTTCCACAAAACCTGAAGAATTTAATTTTTAGTGGACTTTTTTTCATTCCATGGAAGGATTTCAACATTGTTGGTTAATTGCCCAAACTTGAGTCCCTTAAACTATCATATACTTTCTTCAACAGACGAGGAGTGGGAAGTTTCCGGGGAAGCATTTCCTTACTTGAAGTTTGTGCTAGTCGAATATTTAAACATTAGATACTGGAGAGCCAGTAGTGATCATTTTCCGTGCTTTGACCGACTATTTCTTGAAGGTTGCTTGTGTTTGGATTCAATCCATCAAGATTTTGCAGATATAACCACACTTGCACTAATTGATATATGTCTATGTGCACAATCTCTCGGGAATTTCGCCAAATAGATTCAACAAGACATGGAAGACAACTATGCAAGTTCTATTGAGGTCCATATCCTTTAAGCTTGTAAGACATCTTCGTTCTTGATTCTACTTCTAAGGCTTATTTTATCTTTTAGATTCTCGGATTTCATTTTTATCCTTTATTTGTCTGCAGGACAAACATATCAAAACAGGTCATCTAGTTCTTTGAAAGAAAAAAGAGGCTATCTTGTTCCTTTTTCTTTTCATTCTAGTTTTTTTTTGGAATGGGATGAGTTCAGATATCTTGTAGTAGAATTGTATATTATCTTTTATATAGTATATGTATTATATATTTTTTAGGCATAATACATAGATAGACACCTTAACTTAAGCTCAACTGACAAGTAAAATACTCACACTTTGAGAATGCACGTCTAGACATCTCAACTCGTCCCCACTATATCTCATGTCTAGATGATCATTTTATAAGCTGGGAGTGGAAGTAGTTTATTAAGGGTTACTGTAAAGATTTGACACGTGAGCCTAACTATACTCCAAAAGCTAGCTCATGAGGAGAGAATTTCCCAAGTCCATATAAGTAGACTACTAGTCCATTCCCCAACCAATGTGGGACTTTGGATATGTGGTAAAGTGTGTTTGAGAATGTAAGTTAGTTGGTAAGTATAGAACTTGACGGCCAATGCATGAGAGTGTTGGCTTTGACTTACCACCACTTGCCCTCTCACCTGAAACCGTGCTTTCTATATTTTGCAATCTTCCCAGAGGATAAAGTGATATATGTCAAAGAACTTGTGCAGTTATGGACAACAGAGGGATTTTTGGAAGGTAGAAGAAGTGGCAGAAAAATGTTTGAAAGATCTTATGCATAGAAGTTTAATTTCCATCTACCATTCGAGTTTTGACGGAAAAATAGAGAGCTGTGGAATGCATCTGACCTGTGAACTCTGTTTGAGGGAAGCTGTTGCAGATGTTATTCCACCTTTGCTTCTTCCTCCTCCACATGCTTTTCCACAAAACCTTAAGAAACTAGTTTTTACGGATTTCTTCTTTGTGATGGAAGGATTTGAGCATTGTTGGTAAATTTCCCTAACTCAAGACCCTTGAACTAATAGATGATGCCTGTATAGAAGAGGAATGGGTAGTTGAGGAAGAGTTTCCTCACTTGAAGTTCTTGCTACTAAAATTTTCAGAAATTCGGCATTGGACAGCCAGTTGTGATCAATTTCCGTGCCTTGAATATCTATTTCTTGAAGGTTCTTGTATATTGATTCAATCCCTCAAGATTTTTCAAATATAATGACACTTCATGAGCTAATCGATATACGCTACTGTCCAGAATCTGCTTGGAATTCCGCCAAGAAGATTCAACAGGACATGCAAGAGGAATATGCAAAAACTATTGAGGTCCATATCCTCAGCTAACATGTATGAACTCCAACTTTGAGAGTGCGCATCTAGATACCTCAACTTAGTTACAACTGGCAATTGAACACTCCAGCTCGTCTCTATTTCATCTAGTGGACACCTGATGCTGATGGGACACATAAATATTGAAGATGTCTACATGATCATTTTGTAAGTTGGACTGTTCAACTGACATAGTAGAGACGAGTTGTGGTGTCTAAATGTGCTTACTAAAGTTAGAATGCTTACTTGCAAACTGATGCCAAGCTTGAGTGTTATCGAAATAACTTGCTATAGCATGCTCATTCTTGCACATAAAATTTGTAGTACTTTAAAAAACACTGACAGACGTTAAACTAAAGATCATATAAAATTAAGTTTACAAGCCATCTGCACTTATGCTCGCGCCCCTATGCTAAAGCATTTGATTCGAAAAGAAAATGAACAAAAAAAACCACTCACACATTTGGCTTCTGAATTGACCTTTCTTTCGGAAAACTTGCTAATCAGTGTACCTTAAGATCGTTACCACTTTCTGCAAGGAAAAAAACACAAAGGATGAAAAATGTTATGTTAGATTTCCCACAATTAAGGAACATATAATTTGAAAGCACAAATAGAAACAAAAATTATATGAAGAAAGAAGATGTCTTACAAAGCCGAATAAATGTGAAGCTCAACTGAACTTGCATAATTGTCTTGCATTTCCTATTGAATTTGCTTGGCAGAATTCCAAGCAGATTGTGAACCACATATATCAATTAGAACAAGTGTGGTTATGTCTGCAAAATCTCAAGGGATTGAATGGAGATTCCAGCAACAATCAAGAAATTTCTAGGTAGGGAAAGTGATCACTAGTGGCTCTCCAGAACCGAATGTCCAAATAGTCGAGTAGCAAGAACTTCAAACAAGGAAACCCTTCGTCAACTCCTTCCCACTCCTCACCTTTACATGCATCATATGTTAGTGTAAGCGACTCAAGTTTGGGAGATTTACTAACAATGTTCAAATACTTCCACTTCAAATAAGTCCGACTAAAAGATAACTTGTTAAGGTTTTGTGGAAAAACATCTGGTGGAGGAAGGAGCAAGGAAATGCATGGCTTTGGCTTTATTTTTCTACTTGACCGATGAGGAATTGAAAGAGAGCTGCCTGGACGGCTAACCACTTCTTGCTAACTGTTATTGATAAGGTTTGGAGAAAATGGCTTATTTCTTGCTCAATGATTACAGTGATATAAATACAAAAAAAGTACTAACTAACTATGGTAACTAAATAATCAAATCCCTACAAATCAGCTAGACTACCATATATACAATATTGTGCGGTTGTGGACTGATTATGTAATACTCCCCCTCAAGCTGGAGCATAGATATTGATCATGTGTAGCTTGTTACAAAAGTAATCAACTTGAGTTCCATTTAACGCTTTTCTTAAAAAATCAGCTAGTTTCTCTTATGTCTTCACGTAACAAGTGGAAATCAATTTTTCCTGAATCTTCTCATGAATAAAATGAATGCCGACCTCAATATGTTTAGTTCTTTCATGATATAGCAGATTTGAGACAATATAAAGAGAAGCTTGATTATCACACCAAAGCTTAGCTAGTTTATGATGCTTTATGCCAATTTCCGTTAAAAAGATGATGTATCCACATAATCTCACAAGTAGACTCTGACAAAGCTCTCTACTCAGATTATGCACTAGATCTAGATACAACACTTTGCTTATTGCTTCTCCATGAAACTAAGTTCCCTCCAACAAACACACAATAGCATGTAGTCGATCTCCTATCAATTTTGGATCCAACATTTGTAAAGCACTCAACACGAGTATGAATTATATTTCTATACAATATTCCAAGTCCAGGGGATCCTTTCAAGTAACACATAATCTGTTCCAAAGCTTCCCAATGTTTAATCATAGGCACAAACATGAACTGGCTAACAACACTTACCGCAAAAGAAATATTCGGACGAGTCACAATAAGGTAGTTTAACTTCCCAACTAGCCTTCTATATTTTTCTGGATCATCATCATCTGTCATAAGATGCACATTGGGAACCATTAGAGTACTATAAGGTTTGGCTCCCAATTTTCCAGTGTCAGCAAACAGGTCAAGAATATACTTTAAAATTCCCCTTTCTCTTCTATTTACTTCTACTCCCAAAAAGTATCTTAATGGGGCCAGATCCTTCATTTGAAATTTGTTATGTAAGAAATATTTAAGGGAAGAAATCCCCGCATAATCACTTCCTGTGATGACAATCTCATCAACATGTACAACAAGGAGAATAGAGCCAAATGTTGATTGCCGATAGAAGACTGAGTGATCACATTTGCTCATTTTCAACCCAAAATGTTTAACTACCTCACTAAACTTGCCAAACCAAGCCTGCGGACTTTGCTTCAAGCCATACAACGACTTTTCAAATGACAAACTTTCGCATACTCCCCTTGAGGAACAAAACCGAGTGTTTCCTCCAGATAAACTTGCTCCTGAAGATCACCATGAAGGAATGCATTATTGATATCTAACTTATGCAAATGCCATTTCTCAGAAGAAGCTAGAGAAATGAACAAGCGAACAAAAGTGAGTTTGGCAACTGTAGAGAAGGTGTCTAAATAATCTACCCCATATATTTGAGCATACCCTTTAGCCACAAGTGTGGCCTTAAGTCTTGCTACAGAACCATCTCGATTAACTTTAATTGTGAAGACCCACTTACATCCCACTGGTTTCTTTTCCTTTGGTAAATCCACCAAATCCCATGTGTGATTTTCCTCTAAGGCATGTATTTCGTCTAACATTGCATTAGACCATCCTAGATGGCTCAAAGCATCCTTCATTGTTTTAGGTACAGAGATGGAGTCTAGAGAAGCAATCAAAGATCTAGATGTTGAGGATAAGCGACCATATGAAACAAAATTAGAAATAGCATATGTGGATTTGGAAGTGTGTGTAACTTTGAAAAGAGCAATAGGAAGGTCAAGATTTCTGAAGGACCAGGTGACCAAACGGGTGCATGACAAGTATCATCAGTGTCTCGCTTTCTTAAATAGATTTGAATAATTGGCGGTCTTGCTACCACATATGGATAAAGTACTGAAGGTACAACGGTCGGGTGGTGGTCAACAGAAGAACTGAGAGATAAAGGAACAACATCAGATTGTTTTGTCAAAACATGAGTGACTTGATAGACTAACCACTCATCTTGCTCCCCCTGACTTATAGAACTAGAAGGTTTCTAGAAAAATGGTGTAGTCTCTAAAAAAATACCACATCAGTTGACACAAGATATTTGCAAAGTTCAGTAGAATAACTCTGATACCCTTTTTAATGGCGAGAATAATGTAGAAAAATACATTTCAATGCCTTAGGATCTAACTTGCTAACAGATGGTCGAACATATCAAACATAACATGTGCTTCCAAACACCTACGGTTCCACTAGAAATAGTGACTTATTAGGAAGAAACACTATAAGGTGTATTACCAACAAGCACAGTAGATGGCATGCGATTAATCAGAAAGCAGGTTGTGGAGACTGCATCTGGCCAAAATTATTTAGGAACCTTCATCTTGAATAAAAGTACCCGAGCTGTCTCAAGTAGATGTGTATTCCTCCTCTCAACCACTCTATTTTGAGATGGTGTATCAACACATGAAGACTGGTGGAGAATCCCATGTTGTCTGAAATATGACTGAAACAACTCTAACATATATTATTTAGCATTGTCACTTCTTCAAGTGTGAACCGAAGCATTGAATTGGGTTTTAACTTCACCAAAAAAAGGGCACAAAAGTGAGTAAACACTTCAGAGTGACTCTTCATAAAATAAATCCAAGTCATTCGAGAGAAATCATCCACAAAAGTTACAAAATACCTATGTCCAGGTTTGGAAGTGATTGGACATAGTCCCCAAATGTCAGAATGAACTAACTCAAAAGTCTATTCAACTAGCTTATTAACCCTTGGACCTACTGAGTTTCTATGATGTTCTTCAAATCAACATGACTCGCATTCTAGTGAAGAAATATTTTGAAATTGAGGACAAACCTTCTTTAACAAAGGCAGAGAGGGATGGCCCAATCGACAATGTGCTTTAAACGGATACACGACACTTGAGTAGGCCACATAATGATACTCCTATATTCATCAAGGATATAGAGATCATCTTATACATGTCATTTACCAACAACCTGATTTGTTGTAAGATCATGAAACAAATAATGACTGGGAAAGAAAGATATATAACAATTTAGGTCTTTGGTAACTTTGCTAACATAAATTTAATAAAGGCCAACTTTGGTAGACTTAATATAGATGACAGGGTAATAGATGAGGTTGTTTTAACAATCTCAATCCAATATTGTTGCAAGTTGATCCATCAGCTACAGTAACCAAAGAGGGTGCTTTGTGTGATTGAAAGCTAGAAAATACTTTAGGATTATCTGTCATGTATTTTGTTGCATTTGAATATATCACCCATTTATTTGAAGATGTGATAAGACATGACTCCATAAAAACATTAACTGAAGTGGGTTCCTTCACTGATTTATGATATTGAGAGATTTTAGCAAATTCTTTCACCGAAACCAAAACCTTTTTATCATATAATGAACTTGAAGCATTCATTTCCCCAAACTCACTATATCAAATCAGAATAATAGAGAAATTGCCAAAGCTCAGCATCAAAATACTAGAGAAATTGCCAAAGTTTTGCACCAAAATGTTATCCCAATAATTCTGTCCACGCCAACAAGTCAGATGGTTTGAATCAACTCAAAAAGATCTCCACTTACATATAAAGGTCTTAACAGTGAAGCAACCAACTCTCAGCTAAAGGATTCAACTCAAATAGATTGAAACACCAATTATTTTGGAGATGGTCCAGAAAATAAAATATTAAACACCAGTTGTTTCGGAGATGGTCCAGAAAATAAAATATGAAATACCCAAATGATCCATATGTAAAACTAATTGAGCAGTGAAGAGTAAAATTCGAATAGCAGGAACAAAATTCAAATAATGTTGTAGCTTAAAATAGATCAAAGCGGCAAACAAAGAAATTCAAACTCAAATATGACCAAAAGAAATCTTGTTGATGCTTATTCTTCAAAACTTGGTCCAATATCTAGAAAACTACCATAAGTCAACCGAGAATTTTAAGGTGACACCAAACAGGAATCCAGACCAAGATTGGTCCACACGCGACTCCACGTCTGGCTAATTCTAGCGACGACACACCGATACCTAACTCAATCCCAAAATATAGCTATTGGGGTTGATTTAGGCCCATGTGTCATATCTTTACATGGTATCAGAGCCATGTCCATCCCCGTTTGGAGTCCCAAACCACACTCTAGTTGGGCCTGGGCGTGAAGGGGGGTATTAGAGTGGGTAGAAGCCCCACATTGGTTGGAGAATGTATTGGTGATCTTCTTATATGGACTTGAGCAATCCTCCCCTAATGAGCTAGCTTTTCGGTTTAGTTAGCCCAGGTGCCATATCCTTACATTGACAAAGGGGATGCAAGTTGCATATATTGTCATTTTCACTCCATAGTAGCAAAAATCATACAAGTCCTTGCGACTATGGAACTCTTCAGGGGTGCCACACATTTGCAACTTATTTATATTAGCAAACAGTCTGAAGAGAGATCTGATGAGTCGGGGATTTCGTCTCATTTAAGGCTTATTATTAAATGATTTAGTGTCCTTAATGTCTAATTTACTCTCATACTGATGTTAAAATGTTTATGCAATAATGAAGGCTCAAGAGTAAGGCAAGGACATTATGAAGCAAAAAGGAGCGAAAAAGCTGAAAAAATTGAAGGAAAGCAAAGATGGTACTCGCCAAAGTCACTCGGCGAGTCACCGAATGGACCTTCAACTCGCCTAAAGTTCCAGCATGCCTGCCCATGGACAAAACCAACTTGGCGAGTAGACAAGAAATTTGGTGATTCGCCGAAGAGATCGGCGATGACAATCTGGGTCGCCGAAAATTACAAAATGATTTGATGGAAATGCAAAGCCTAAAAGGCGAGAAGAGGAGAAACTCGGCACATCGCCAAATTGGTAGGAAAACCCGACTTACTTCGCTGAGTTGACTCTATGCTGAAATTTTGGGAACGTATAAATACAATTTTTAAATGAAGAAAAGGAGTTTCCACATTGTTTACTTCTGGGTTTTTGAGTTTTTACATTCTAGAACATTGTTCTTATATTTTGAGTAGAGATTTAGAGATTGTGGTAATTTTAGCTTGGATTTCAAAATTTAGGATTACAGATCGTTAGCAAATTAGATGGAAAACTTCGTTGGTAACGATTTCTGGTTTTTCACTATGCTTGGCTAAAATCCCTTACTTTAGGTGTATGATTATGTAGTTGAATTCATTAATTAGCTAATGGGAGTTGTTAGTTACTGATTTTAATGTTTTTTTGAAGTGCGTTCAATTAATTGTTCATGGTTTAATTGAGGAATTGTAGTTGCAAATGCAATTCTAGCTTAGTTCTCTATGCTTACTTGAGAAAGAGGTAATAGACTATAATTATTAATTGATGATTGTATTGATTACGTCTTTAAAATCTAGCTTGAGAAAGTGGGTCTGATTGTGCCTTTACATACCCAGCTCGGAAGAGCGGGTTAATTAAGGATTTTGATTTCTTGGTTGTGTTATGACCGTTGAGGTTCGAAAGAACTCATTTGAAATGCAATAGTTGATTGAGAAATGGCTATTGCTCTCAAAACCTAGCCTACCCACTGAGATTCAACACTTTTGAGTAACTAGTAATCACCCATTACACAGAATTAGCATTCAACCGATCACACTCCTAAAGTCCAATCTCTACTTGTTTACTTCCCATGTTAGTTGTCTTAAATCCCCCATTGGATATTAATCCTTGAAACTTTGATATTTGTTTTAATGGTGAGAATGTGTTACATCTACAAACGATTAGGACACATCTTTATGTCCTAATTGAATTCTCTACAGTATCACTCCCTGTGGGATCGACTCTAACTCTTAGTTGGGTTTATACCTGTTCCCAACCACATACACTTAGAATTGGATGAAGTGTAGTTGAGTGTTATCAATAATGGCACTGCTACCAGAGAGTTGTGTGTAGAATTTTCTTATTTGAAGTATAGTCGTGAACTGATTTTATTGTAGTTGAATTATCTTATTTGTGTTCTTGTTGGCTGCTTTAAAATAGGTGAAGAGATGAGTGTAAATGGGAGCAACGCTATTCAACTTGGGAACAATGATGACTTCAAGAATTTGCATGAAGTCAATGAGGATCAGTTGGGAAGTGCGGGTGCTATTCGATTGCCTCCGACTATGG